ATAGACTAAGATAGAAACAAGGATAAAGTCTCCGTTTCTCTATACTCACTAGACGAAACAGCAGTATTAAGATATTATTGGACACTGGTATTTTGTGAAATCATTGTCTTTTTCCGGTCAAGCCGACCATACGTAGTGCAACCACAGTATATCTGTAACGTAAAAATATATAATATTTGATTTGATTCAGTCTTTCAATATACAGTTAACATATTATAATATCTACGTCCTATTACTATATCTGACTTTTCTTATGCTTTCAAAGTGTTTTATAACAACCTAATTAATTTTAATATTTATAGCCGAAAGTGACTGAAATTTATAAGTTAAGTTTGGCGTGCATGCATGATATGCACGAATCTATTGTCTTTCCGAATTTTTTTGGTCATATCTAATATAACTGTTATTATTGTGTCATACAATATATTATGAAAAAATTGGTTTTAAAATATTATACCCCACATCCAAATAATTTCGCGAACCGATATTTTACGATTGTTGTTTATTTATTGTGTATGGTTTTCTTGGCCGACTTTGTACGGTTGCGTGTCCAAGGCAGTTTCTTTGCAATCGCAAAGAACGAAGGGTTTTCAATAAATATACCGGCGTATATAAACTGTGCGGAGTTAAGATTGCACTAAGATTAAATTATACGTAAATGACAAGCGCTATAAAACTACATGTAAAGGAATTTATGTTACTTATTATCAGCAATGTTAACATAGAGTAGGGTTGTAATGATCATTTAGATAATCAATTTAAGTGAATCGTTTGTTTTGAAACTTTTGCGAGTATATTTCATAAAATGATATTATCTAAAATGAAGTTTTTAAAGGATAGTCAAGTTGCGACCACTAAAACCGCGAGAAATCCTATACAGTAAAGCATTTTAAACGGTTACACATATGCGAAACAACTATTTGTAGCCCACCAAGATACGTGGTAGAGTCATTGCGCAGCTATATTACAGTTGTAGTACAAATGGATCGGCTCGACCGGTGAGTGTTTAAGTTTAGGAGCCTTTTTACCAGAAACGAGGAATTCCATTAGTTCTGAGGGGTTTCAAACTGTCAAAGCATCTGCATTTTGATTCTTAATCGAGGATAAGTGTAGTCGTCTATGGGACACTGTTCCTTATCTGAATTTACGTTCAGCAGTGGATTTGTGTCATCATCATTACTGCCCATGATGATGATGATGAATCTGTCCTTCGGTTCAAATTCTAGCGGAGCCAACATAATATATGAAGAAGAAAGTTACATCCTATTTTGCTGAAAACAGATCTCTTCTCAATCAAAGGGTTATAGAGCAGTTAGTTATCCGCGCTGCTTTATAGAGTGTTGGTTGATTTCACATGTCTTTAAAATATTTATTTTCCCTAGATGTACAGGTTTCCTCACAATGTTTTTCATTACCACTAAGCACGTTGTAAATTAATAATTAAAAGCTTAAAACTGTAAAACCTTCATAATGAAACATATCATGCCCTTACAGCCAGTATAGAAAATGTAACATACGAATCGGCCTTAAGTGCCTCAATAAATAATATTAAGTCCCTATAATTCCGCCTTATCTGACTTACGGTTGGAAAGCAATTTCTTTGCCATGGTGAAATTATAGGACGCCCGGCGTGAAACTTAACACCATCATAGTACATATAATGTGAATTACACACGTACCTAAACTACCGCGCGACTGGTGATATCGCGCTTTAGTGCCGTGGTGTGAAAACATCTTGCATACTGAAATCTGTGACATGTGACCTTATCTTTGATATTAATGGGATTACGCACTTTTTACCGACTTGAAAAGGAGTTTGCTGCTGGTAATCTTCGTCAATTTTAGACGCATTTTACAGATTCCTTTTTACTAAATAAGATATAATTGACCGCCCTTGAAGTATTTTAAATTATAAAATTTTTTGTAAAATAATTTTCAAATATAGAAGATAAAGTTTTAAATGTACTATTTAGATGAGCCTTCATACTCCTTTATGCACTCAAAAGAGTTAAAAATTTAATTTCATCGGTATAGAAAAATCATTCTTAGAAGAGCAGTGGTTAGTACCTCAGAGTCTAAGTGCTCACTGTAAACTATACCTACGCGAGCAAATGCAATCCATGCTTATTTTCTACGTGTTCGGCGGTGAAGGAAAACACTGTGAGGTTACTTATACTGGATATAAATATATCATGATCATCATCATTACGGCCCGTCGAAGTGAACTGATGAACATAGGCCCCCCAATAGACTGCCTCATAAGGATGACATTTGTATTAGCTGCTTAGCACATTTTAGTTGTTATTAAAAAGACCTCTCTTACTAAACCCAATGGTCGAAACGGGGGAGTGGATATTCTTAAACCGTTACTACACGGTTAACATCTTTAACAGGTCTATGTAACACGGCGATCTATTAAACGCCGTAAAATTTTCCAGGCATATCTTGTAAGCGAGAGCTATCTTTGAAATCAAGCGCAGATCTTTTCAGAGTTAATTGGAGAGCGTCAGAAACTGAAGTTTCTTTCCACGCCGTTTTTCATCTCAATATAAGATTTGAGTAAGGAGCAAAATATTTTTTTTCTATATTATACTTTTATCTATTTTTTTAAATTATTACAATCATAATATTTATATTTATATATAATGCAGGGAATAGAGTGAATGGGGCACTACACTCTATTATGAAGAACCAGAATTTGTCAAAACAGGCACGTATGGTAATTCATAATGCTGTGTTAGTCCCTACATTAATGTATGGTAGTGAAAGCTGGGTGTGGCAGAAGAAGCACGAAAGTAGAATAAATGCTGTAGAAATGCGGTCTTTAAGGAATATGCTAGGGTGTAATCTGAATGACAGGGTGAGAAATTGCGTGATAAGAGATAAATGTGGTATGCAAGATGATGTTGTGACCAGGATTAAGAAAGGAATGCTTCGGTGGTTTGGTCACGTAGAAAGAATGAATGAGGAAAGAGTGACAAAGCAAATTTATATGGCAGATGTGAATGGCCAAGTCGGGAAGGGACGCCCTAGGAAAAAGTTTATCGACCAAATTGGAGACATTTTGAAAATGGGCCACGTTAGAAGTACCCTTAACCGACGAGCATGTATGCGTAGATATATGGATGTAAAGGAGGCGAAAGAGGTATGTCAGGATCGTGCCAAATGGAAGTCCGTAGTCTCTGCCTACCCCTCTGGGTGACAGGCGTGAGTGTTTATATATATTATATTATATTTATACTAGGTTGCATCTTACCTGATATTGATTGCGGTACCTATGCTTAGTTTGACAATTGTACTATAAGGCTGTTGACGATTTAACTGTCGACGATTTACCTGAGCGATCAAGCTACAATCAGCATCAGAAAAACAAAATTCTCAGTTATGGCATCTATCTAAATAAACTAAGGAATTGAAACATTATCTAAACACAAAATTGCAGCCAAATCAATAGAGCCGTGTTCAAGAATACATTTACATATAATTATTTAGACATGAATTGTTCACTTAAAGTATTAAGTTCAAATCGAATGGAATCTGGCAATTTTCATATTATTTAGTCTGAAACTAATGTATTAAATTAAACTTATTTACGGATTTTATGGTGTCAATCATATTTTATGTTATATTTCCGACGATTCAAGTGGTTTCCAGCATCCGTGGCTTCGGAGGAACTGAGGTGTTGAACGTCCTTATATCATATTTAACCCCGGCTATCTCCAACTTTTGGTTGCTGTAATATAGGTATATACGAATAAGTAAATCTGTAAAAATGTGTAAAGTTTGCGTAATCATAAGAAATCATTATAATTATACATAGTTATTTAAACGTATGACATCTTTTACGACTAGGAGTTTATCTCGGTAGGTCCACACTTTTCCATTTCTGTACCTTCATGTACCCCTGATGTGGTATGATACAGCTTTTGGAAGATTTCCCTTCACCATCACACTAGTCGTGGTGATAAACGATCGTAGATCCCCAGACGTTTCGCACCTCTGACACGGATGCTGACGGTCTGGATATTGTACGTCTAAAGTTTTGTACAAATATGTGGCACCATAATGTTTCCTGCGTTAGTAGCTTCCGGATAGTATTAAGAAATTAGTGTCGTAATCGAAGCGACTAGGAGAACATAGAAAAATTTGTTACAAAATCGTCCAACATCTAAAATGTTGACTAAGGATGCGGTCTCATCTGGCGTATAGCTAGCGGCCGAATATTTGCCTTAGTTCGCAGTTTGCGGTTGCACAGATAATAGTCAGCTGGAAACTAGTGAGACCGCACCTTAAGGGAAGCGCCAGATAATTCTCGTGGTTACACAGATAGTTGTATATGTTATGCCGCATAATTAAAGGCGGTTTCAGGTTGCAAAGTCATCATTGACGTCTGCATGGCGCAATGGCTTGACATCAAACTGCGGCGCCAACGGCCACGGGTTCGAATCCCGTCTGGATGTTTGTCCCTCCGCAATCTGCCTCCATGATGCAGAAGAAAATCTTAGTTTGGGGGTAACATTTTATTTAAACAAAAAAATGTTTGGTATCTATGATTGTTAACAGGCGATTACTGAACAACTACTAAATTCAGGAGAAAAATGTATCCAGTATAAACTTTTTACATAGCAGTCATAATGATCATTCATTCGGTTAACCGCCCACTGTTACATAAAGGCTACTTATGTATAAGAGCGTAAAGAGGTATCCCACAGTTCTAAAGTTGGAAAGTACCTATCAATAAGGATCTATGAAGCTTAACATGTTAAAGCAGTTCGTAATGGCGACGGCCACTGAGTTCATCATGAAAATATTTTTTTTTATTATAAAGGTAATTAAAATTAAAAATATTAATAACAAAAAATCTCAAATACCTAATGTTATTAAATGTATAAATATCGCTAAGTGAAGCTTAATTTGAAGCGAAACCCTGATCTAATCATCAATCTTTCGCTCCTCTCACTTCAGCCACACTGGCATCAAATCATTCTTCGTTGTTCCAGATATTCATGCACAAGAACGCAATGCAAATGCATGCCCGCGAGCTCCAAAGGGGTCTGGGCGGTGAAGTGAAACCGCATCAGTGCCAGCAGTGCCTCAAATCGTTCAGCTCCAATCATCAACTGGTGCAGCATATACGAGTGCATACAGGCGAAAAGCCCTACAAGTGCTCTTACTGCGACAGAAGGTTCAAGCAACTGAGTCATGTGCAGCAACACACGAGACTGCATACAGGTTTGTTCTGGAATTATTTTTCTTCATTTGCCACATCTTCCATTTGGCATTGAGCCAGTAATTTAATTATTTAACTGAATTAAAAAAAATCTTACCGAATATTAATCTTAGTTAACCTTAACGTGGTAGAGCCACGCTGCAGCTATATTATAGTTGTAGCATGAATAGGTCGGCTCGACCGGGGAAGAATCACGCTCTCACAGAATACCATCGTAAATAGCAGCTTGATGTTGCTGTGTTTCGTATGGTGATTGTAGAGAACCGGATACCCGTTTTACTGGAATCGAGGCATACCATCTTATTCCTCAAGGGTGATGATCAACGAGTCGTAGTCGTAGTCGACAAGGGTGTCGATGTTTATGGGCCACAGCATCCACTTACCACCAGGTGGACTGTGTGCTCGTTTGTCACCCTAATCCTATTAAAAAAATTATGTTGAGTTTAAAATTAGATGACATGTTTTTTTATTTAACTGTCCTCTTCGTTCATTGATGTTCAATTATTATTTAATTTTTTTATATCTTTACTTACATAACGTTTTACAATATCTACAACGCTAATATATAAAAAATAATCATATCATAACATCACGGTAAGGTGCCAGAAGCTGACTCCGTTTCTGCGATGCTATAACAAGCCTGACGATCAGTCAGGATACAGTTCCAATAGAAACTCCACAGCGTTCAACTCTACTTAAAAGTCAAAAAAATTTAATTCTTTATTATTTATATTTTAAAAACGAATAAAAAGAAAATAAATGTAACTATGAAAAGCTATTTGGATAAAAATATATACCATTAGAAAAAAATAATACACTTTTCTAAAATAGTATAACGGAAAATTATCTAAGTATATAACTTTATATTTTCCTGCTTTGGTATAAAAACAATTTATTATTCATTTAAATTACATATGAGTGCGTAATGTTACATATCACATGATCCTCAATAATATTATGTAAATATTTTTATGTAAATTTAAATTAATTCATTTCTATGCTAAAGCACACAGTTATTATTTTAACTTCTGTAAAATAAAAAAGGAAAAAACAAATCGGAAAACATACATAATATTACGGAATACGACAACAATGTTCCAAATTTAAAACCAGCCGAGCGTTATAAAACGGATTCGCGTCTCTACTCTATAGTTCCGATTCGAAATTAGCAGCGTAACATGCTAGAACAACTTTTATAATTAAAAACTACGTAACACCATTGGCCCGAGTTTCCACGGAAAAAATCGACTGCCCGTGTACGTGAAAAGTGGGAAAAAAAATTTCGTCCAATGGTCGCCAGCTCGGCCGGCGGCGGCCAATCACTTGGCTGCTCCGCACGAAACGTAAATATACGTGGTTTAGAAAAAAATTCACGTGTTTTTTCCACGTTGTATCTAGCCAATGGGCGGCGCCGTCGGCTGATTCTTGTGCGCATCGTAATTCCATCGTTTTCTCGCATTTTTTTTACTTATGGCAATACAACACATCTATGTATTTCCTGGTCGTTAAACAAGGTTTTATGTTGTTTAATCTGGTTAATGTTTTATTCAATGAAACGATTAGGTTTATTTTATTTCGTTATCGCGTACTCATATGAGGTTACAGAAAGCTATCTATGTTTTCTCTTTTATAACATTTTTATTTATTTTGTACATAAGTGTGTTATATTTTATTGCATAATGAATGGTTATTTAAAATAATGTAATTACTTTTATGAGAGGATTAGTTTTTTATCTTGATTAAGCAGAATATAAAAAATAATTTCTATGCTCAGTAAAACTCCATTATTATTTTTTGCAAACAAAAGACTTAATGACGGTACGATAACTGACGAAGTGTTGCCAGTTCTAATTAAATATTTATACCGTATGCATGCTAATTATGGCCTGTCGGGATAGTGATTTTTCTTTTAATTACAGTCATTGCTACCTGGTACTGGCTACACTCAACATGTCAATGTCAGAGCAACACTTTTCTGTAACTTTTAAACAAATAGAATAACAATTAAGTAGTAGCTTTTTATATCGATATTAATTACATAGTTATATTATATCAAATATATTATGTTGAATAAAACTAAATACGGATTTTATCGGTTTATTTCACTACTTTTACTTATTTTAGGGGGTTGTTTTTTCTGTTGTTTATTATATTAATACTTATATGTTATTAGAAAAGGGAAAAAATGTTTAGTACCTAATCTCGCATATTATACTGCTTTACAGAATTCAATAAAAATTCGGGGCATAGAGACATCATATCCTTGACATAGTACATGACTTACCACGGGAAAATAAAGGCTAACACGGATAAACGAATAGGGAAGTGTTTCTTTTTCCACGCAAGCGGAGTCACGTGCTGGCTAATACAATAATTTGTAGTAATTCTTTGAAAATTTAACACTTAACGATTAAATACCTTTTGGATGTAGTTTTTGAGGCTTAAATTACATTAATAACATAAAACTCTGTACAGATTAATAAATAGCCATTCTGAAACATATCAATAGGGGATAAAACCACGATACATTATCCTGTTCTGAGTGGTAACGTTAATAATAAAATTTGTATCAACAAACTAATATACAATTTATTTATAAGAACATTTTTTTCAATATTAGGCTTAATACAGCCAACGTACATTCATTTCACCTACTAGAAATATAAATTCCATAATTATATACTTGTACATACAATTACTAGCAACATTAGCTTTCTTTGTACCGCCCTCCGATGAAAAGCAGTTATCGACTACCCTATGATTTAAAAAGATAATATGTTTTGATGCTTTTTATATATGTGCAGCATTTTTTGTATGTTGCTGTGTATATAAGTTCGTTATTTTGTGGCCTTTGCGATTAAAGTCGAGGCCAAGATGCACTTTTTATTATTACTTACAAAGTCTGTATTCTATCTCCACCAAACTGGGAAAGGTACGTGGGAGAATCGGTCTTATTCTCCTTTCAACGCCTGCTCAGTTTCAACAATTCTTCCCACGTTTCATTTTTACTAGTAGCCCCAGCTTATATGTCTCACGGTTATGTACAGGCCTCCTCTAGTCGAAGTGCCTTCTGCAAACTGGGAAAAGTATGCGAAATCTGCCTTTTTTGTCTCTATGCCCTTTCCCGCCGTGGGCAAATCTTGCAATTTTGCACACCTTTATTAGTTGCTACAACTTAAGGTAACAGCCAACATATGCGCCACGGTCTTATACTAGCCTTATATTTGTGACAAGGTTTTTATAGTAGGGTCGACCAACGACCCAATTTGTGTTGGCCGATTTTAACTTTAGGATAAATATAGAACCATCAATAGATGGTTCTATATTTATCCGAATCTTATTACTATTTATAATTTTTCTCGCTACCTACGGGCACTTAGAATGAAATATTTAAAAATATTTAAAAATTTATTGCAACAAATTTAACTTGTTACTTTATTTTGAATTTGCAAATGAAAGAGAAAGCTTTTAGAGGAAAAATAACGTTTCCCAATTCAATATAGAAACAACGTTATTCCGTCCGAATTCATAGAACTTCGTACAAATAGGACGGGCCGAATGGAAAAACTCGAATCAATGGGTGTTTTTGTTTTCCTACCAATTATTTCGTCGAGTTTGCATGACAATGGGACAAAAAACCTTAGATTGTAAAGGCCTTTTCTTGGCCCGCATTCTATTTATTTAATTGTGGAATAGCCAGAGCGATAAATGTTAGGAATCGGCTCGTTTTGTGTACGTTCCTTGTTTCAGTGAATTTATGGTCAATCTGTTAACAGAATAAATTTCACCACACCAGCTGATTGACGGGTTACGCTTACAACCCGATTGACGATCGCTATACCAGATGTCTTGCACATTCGACGCTGCTCTTTGTCGCCGGTCTCGGTACATCATTCAATTTTGATACATCTGACAATTTGGAGATGGTAAACTGACATCTATTGAAACCCAAAAGGCCCTTCCTGTTTTTCCTATAACCGCCAACAGATACCAAACGAAATGGAATGGTGGATTTTCTAACTCCCACCACACGAAATGAAATTTTTATTTTATTATTATTATTATTTTATAGAATAAGGGTGACGAGCAAACAATCCACCTAAAATGGATTATGTGATCCATAGACATCTACATTTATCCTCTATTAAGATTCAAATGATCGCTTGTCACCCCTGAGCACCAATGGATTTCCTCGTTTCCAGTAAAAAGGGTCTCGGTGTATGAAACATAGCATCATTAAGGTGCTACTTTCCTGGGGTTAAGTATGGATTTAGGTAATTTCTACATAATTATTGTGTGATTATAAAAGGATTTAGTGTGACTATGGAGTATTTAACTTTTTTAAAAAAAAAAAGTACAACAATTTCTGCAAAAAGTTTTGGGCGTAGTGTGTACAGGACAATAGTACCTAACGCGTTAAAAATCATAAAGCTTACTCGTACATATATAACAAAAACTACATAATCTAAATCACCCCACCGCAAATTCCCAATGGGACGAGGATTTCTTTCGCCCGGACAAAATTTTCCATTAAAAATTTTTCGAAAATTATAAGATGGATTACGTGCTCGAGTTACATCTGTTCCCAGAGGAGTATAGTTCATCAAACCCCTTTTATTTTGGAGGTTATTTTTGGGGAAGCATAACGGTATAAGAAACGCAGACTGTAATCCATTGCATATAAACCGCAATGGAAATTTTATTTCAGTTTAATTACCATGTAAATAAAAAACTATACACTATAATTCTGGCAAAATACTTTAAACAAACAAAAATTTAAATAAAATTACAAAATTATTTACAAACATGGTTTGGAGATTAATTTATCCGGAAAATTTCTACTAGGAAATCAAAATATGTTTCGAGGAAAAGCATCATGATAGAACTTGCCCTTAAAAATAAAAACGTAGCATGCGTCAAGCAGGTTTTCTTATTGTATAATATACAAGCAATAGTGACCAACAAGCACACATGTACTGAAGTCCAAAGACAAATCTATCCT